GTGTGTGTGTGTGTGTGTGTGTGTGTGTGTGTGTGTGTGCGTGTGTGTGTGTGTGTGTGTGCGTGCCCCTCACCCTCTCCTCCCGGCTCTGCAGCCCTTGGCAGATGTGTTGAAGGTTGTACAGCTCCTCCAGCAGCTGGAGGCTCCCCTTCCTCAGCTCAGCCACCTCCTCCCGCCCCTCCTCCTCCTCGCCACTCCACCCCCCCTGCCTCAGGCCGCCCACCAGCTGGCACAGGTTAGCCAGGGACACGTGCCAGTAGGGGGCACTCTGCCTATTGTGTTTGATCTGAAACAGAAAAAAAAAGGAGGGGGAAGAAGTCGGATGAGAGGGCGACGTGGCTCCGAATGGAGTCCTTTGTGTTCACAACTTCAACATGAACGAGGTTTCGAATAACAAATATGAACCTTTTCACATGATGTAAACAAACACACAATAAAAGTTGAAGAATTGTACTTTCCTTGAGGTATTTTTCCCACTTCAAGTATTATCAGATGAAACAAACTGGGCTACAAAAACAAAAACAAAAATCAGCCTAATTCAGTCTAATCCAGTATTTCTGATGGGATGCTGCCTTTCCTGATAAACAAGTTATAAATCACACTCATCTACAACCTGTGCTGAGGCTTAGTCCAACTCTCCCTCTGCACCAACTGATGACAGCACTTCAATTCAAACAAAACACATTTTAGTCAAAAAGTAACCATCGATTTGGTTTGAGTGTTGATAAAATAACACTTACAGTCATCTGTTTGCTTTTTAACTGTCTACTAAAAATACAGGATAGATTTTTTTTCTTTCGTTTCTTTACATCTTGGAAAAAAAAGGAGTTTCATCTCAGTTGAATCCGCAGCAGCCGCTTGTCTCAGGTAGTTTAAGGCAAACTGTTCAGACGGCTCTTTGTGAAAAAGACCTCAGGTTTTCGCTGATGAAACTGTAAATGGGTTTAAGCTGTTTTCTGATTCTGGCCAGCAGAAAGAATACAAACTCCTCTGACGTTGTAAAGACAGGAGCGAAGCAGATGTCGAAGGAGCAATAAGCTACTGACATTTGGAAATCAACAGTGAATCAAAGACTTTGATTTATCTTTAAATAAAGGAAATGAGTAAAGCATCACGTTTACATTGGTAGGTCACATATGTGACCCATCACATCGAAACGAGGATTAAATCTAAAAGTGGTACAAGGAGAAAAAGACATATATAGTGTTTTGACTAAAATGTTAACAAAAATTGCATTTTGTCAAAATATAATGAATAAAAGCCTTATCAATGTATCAGTTGAATGAACTGTCTGAAATATAATCATAAAACAAAATTAGGAAGCACTACTTTAAACAGTAGCAACAAAAAAACTGATTTTGAGGAAAAACGCCTTAAATTTTTAAGATTTTCCCTATGAGCTAGCAAAGTTTTGTTTCTTTTTAGCTGGGAAATCTCAATATTCAAATATAATTTGAGGTTTCCTCTTTATAAGGACATCAAAAATTCCTCAATAAAATGACATAAAATTGGGATTCAGACCAAATATTCATGTATTTTTGTAACCAAAAAGACAAATTAAGTCATATATATGGATTTAATTATGATATCTGAATGATCCAGGTAAAAAAATGTAGCTTTTAAAGCCAAGAATCTGAAAATGTAATTAGGTCATTTTGAACAAATTTGACTTAATCCTCATTTCGATGTGATGGGTCACATATAGCTGCATTTGGATGTCGGTGATTCAACTTGCATTTGATTTTCTGTTTTTTAAAGACTCCTGGGTGTTGTAAATTTACAGCGCAAGTTAAACAAACCCATTGAAGACGCAGCAAAACTATAAAAACCATGACATTGCAGAATCCAATATGAGACGACGTCTTCTGTTTAATCAGTGAAGAAAAGCAGTGGAGCAGCAGATTATTCAATTGAAATGATCATGGATATTGTTCAGATAGAGAGTGACAGCATCCTCTAGTCCATACAATAGTTCTTCCAGCCTCCTGAGCACTTTATCAGTCATCCAACAAGTTATAATCACAGTCATCGGCCCTGAACGACTGAGCATCAGCAGCAATAAATCACACGGCTCTGTTAGCAGCGTTTATCAGACTGTTGGAGGAGGAAGGTGTTGTTAGGATGCTGTCAGGTCCATCTGAATCCCATTAGGCTCAAATGGTCATCTCTCCTCCTCAGCTCATCTCTCAGACTCGCCTTTCCTTCACTGCACCAGGTAATGTGATAAAAGTGTCTAAAAGTAACAAGTGATCCGCTTCCCTTGGCCTCATCTCCACCTCACCCACCTCCCCCATTGTGCACCCACGACCGGAGCAAACAGTGAGCTGATTGTGTTCGTTTTACAGAAGCTGATTCAACACAACGTTCGGGGCAAAACTCCAAGCTGCAGCAAACACAAAACAAACTCTTCTGACTGATTATCTCCCGCTCGGCGTGAACACAAACTGAAGGCGAGGTTCCACGAAAGGACAAGCAGCCAGAGAGCGGGCAGTGAGGTGGCAGGAACGATCGTAAAGCTTTCTGTGCGCTCACTCTCTGGTGTCACAAGAGGAGGAAATGAGAACATGTACCTTCGAGGTGAAGAGACTGGTTAGGAGCTCCTCTGCTAGCGCTCGCTGTTCCTGGTCCACATCTGTCAGTGAGGGAGAAAAACAGGACATGGAGAAAAACTAAAAAAACTGGAACATGATTAGAAAGTTTTTGTGGCGTTATTCAAAGTCAACAGGAAACTTATCTCGAGACAGTAGAGCTTGTTTTCTCAGGATAAAACAGGTAAAAATATCTATTTGTGTTGACTCAGAAAAGGTCATTTTGAAAAAAAAAGTGTAGAAAAGTAATATACCAATGATATGTGTGCGTATGTTTGTAATGTTTATTTTTTGGTAAGTGTTATGTAACTTACGACCATTTCGACTGTTGTTTCGGTTTCAAAGAAATTGTGATTTAGAATAAGGAAACAAATAACAGTTATTTTAAGCTTTAGAGAAGGGTGGGATTACATATGTTTTCACGTCTTCTCTTTCCTTTTCAGGATATGTTTTTTAATATTTTTTTTAAATTTTGTTTTCCATACATGTTTGAAATAAACTAATTTTCTCACAATAACTACATTCTTTTAAATGAGTTGTTCATCGAAAATTAGGCGTCACGCTGATAAGACACATTTCTCATAAAGTCTTCACTACAGATCATCCTCCCCGAGTATCGTCACAGCTAAATGAGATGATAAAAAACACATTTTGTTGTTGCCAGAATTACACTGTAAAAAAATAATATGACAATTTATCGGTGAAAAGTCATGTTCCTGTAAGTTTTAAAAGAGTTCCTGTATTTCAAAGCAAATCCTGTGGGTTTTTTTTTTTTAATTTTGATGTTAAACAATTTAAAGTTTCAATTCCACCATTGGTCACACAGACTGAGCTGAAAATCATCTGCATGAAATAAAATCTAAATAAATTCACAGTCTGAAGCAGCAAAACAAATGAAAAAAGAAAGGTATGTCATCTTTTTTAATTTATATGCAAAATAATATTTAATTTACCAAAGATGCTCTTTGGATTGTAAACATTAGCAGCAAAAAAAAGAAAGAAAGAAAGAAATAAGAAAAAATATTTTAAATATTTCATATCTGCCTTTGGGTTGTGTACAAAAATGGAACAAAAAAAATCTAGATTAGTTAATGTTTTGGTCCATCATCCTAACATCAGACTATAAAATAACCCTCTTTTTGTGTTTCTTTTTGCAGCCAGGCTCATATTCATTTTGTAAAATCAACCTAAAAATAAAAGGTCTTTTTATAATGCAATGCTCCTAAAATATATATTTTAACTACTATCAAAACTGACTGCTTGGAGCAACATCACCAAATAAGACACCTGTTGCACAGTCCAGGTTTTGCCCACCCAGATGTGTCTTTGTGTCTCTGAATGAGCCTAAAGTAAAACACAGAAACCTTTTCCAACACCTTTGTTACTCACCTGTGCAAAGTGCGCCACACGTGAAACAGAGGAGAAGCACACAAGCCAGCTGTGCCTGCATCTTGATGAGAAAAACAGAAGACAACAGCCAAAGAAAAAAAGCGTTTCCAGTACTGACGGATGCACCTGCAGATGAGTCTAGTCCATGAGGTTAAGGGTCAGAGCGCTGAGAGAGGCTGGAGAGGAGCTGAGAGTCAAGCTGCTGCTGCTTCTTGCGTCTCCGTCTCTTTGGCAGCTCTCTGGCTGGATGTGAAGTGCAGTTGGCTCCATTCTCTCAGTATATAAGAGCCAATGTGATGTCAGACAATCAGACTCTTAACCTCCTCTCACACCCTCCCACCTCCCCTCCTCCCACCGATTTCTCTCCATATTCCATGTCATGTCACCAGATCATCAGACGTCACGTTGGCGTCACGCAGCAAACGGGTTTTTGCGTCACCCTTTGGTAGATTTGGTTATCCTGCCTCGTGAGTGCACTCAGAAGGTTTGCTTTAGACTTGTCTCTGAGTGGTGGGAGGCAGGGGTGATGTGGTCAGACACACAAATCATTCTGTCTCAGAGTTTGAAGGAAGAAAAACTGCTTTTGAGGCTTTAACAAACTCAACAGGTAGCTGACTGGAGTTACATGAAAGTCTGCTAAAGATAAAATGTGCAATGAAAATTATAATTACTTCAGCAGTAAAACGTTTTAAATGCATGGTCTAACTGTGATTGTTTTTCGTTTTGTTTTTTATACTCTGAATCACAGCTGATGAATGAGCGATAGTCTCACACGACGTTTCTGTTCCGATATTTTTCAATAAAATCTTGGCTTAAAGCAATTATAACTTTCTTCGGCGGCGTCAGACCTGACAACCAGAATCTGAGTTTCCTCCATTAGAGATAGTGAATCACCATTTAATAAGTGCACAGCAGGGTTCACAGGGACTAAGTTAGTCATAAACAACATGTCTGAAGGAGCCCCGAGTCCCCTGGAAACAGAACAAGCAATAGGGGTGTGGTGATCTGTGACAAAATGTCACATCTACAGCAGTGATTAGACTGTAATGCTAACAAGTTGAATGAATATATAACTTATGCATAACTTATACAAGCATATGACAGCACTGTTTGAATAATGCAGATCTTACAGTATGATCGTACTGCAACAAGGCTGGCTGTCACATGTATAGCATCAGCATATTAAAAAATGTCAAACGCTGATGTAAGTCGCATAAGTTATGTGTAAGTTGAGAATAACAGCATTCTGATATACGATGGCGTCAATTTGTCGTACCCAAAGGCCAGCCTCTTATTTTGTATATGCACAAAATTATATGTTGACGTGTTGCTGATAAATAGCCTATATGCCACGGTCATTAATGACGTATTTCCAGTAAAATTCTTGCCACGCTCCTCCCTTCCACTCCCTGCTTACTGACTATGTTTTTAGGGTTAGCTCCTAGTACTAGTCCGTGAAAAAGTCACAAAAGTTAAAGCATCTGTGATCTACTGGTATAAAATATGAGTTTTGTTGTGTGTCGTTGTGTCCACTAACCAGCAGGTACGATCGAGTAGTTAGTTTTTATCCTTTTTCCTCTTGATGAGGAGGTGACAGCTGTGAATCATAGCATTACAGGGAAAACTTATCTTTAAAAGCTCACGCTTGTGTTTGTAATCAGCATTTCTAACCTGAGGATATTCAAGAGCCAGCATTAGAAATGAGAAGACGGAGGTTACAAAAGGGAAATGTACAATTATCCCCTTTTACTGCCAAGACGAGAGAGGAAAGACCACCTCCACACGACAGCTAGCAGGAAGCTAACACAGCAACCGGTATAGGTAGGTGTGTGTGTGTGCGTGCACGCGTTTGTGTTATATGAAATGTTTTTATGTGACTTTGTCATGAGTTTTATGCAAAAGTAAAACCTTGTTAGAGTGTATATTACAGCATAGACTAAAGCCGAGTGACGAGCGCCCCGCCCTACTACCCCAGCGTACCGAGAGCAGCAGAACCTCCGCCTGATAATCATTACGTTTTCAGTTCATTAACGTCGGGGAAAACGATCCAAACCATACAAGTAGCCCATCAATTTAAAGCCCAGACTCTGCTCTTTCCAACAATATAAGTGTCACAGCTCTACGTGAAAAATTCACAGAACAAGCAGCCACAGAAAAGTGAAAAAGGCTAAATTCTGGAACCATAAACACGAACGTCTTTCCTTTGTTTTTATGGCTTTAATCCACTTTGGAGTGATTTTTTTCCACTTGGCTGGACCTGTACGTCTCCTGTGTTAATGTTGGTACATGTAATATGCTAATTCTGTACTGTGGAGATCATTAAGAGTCGTTGTCGGGTGAAAAAAATCTTTCGCTAACACTGTGTTGACCGTGAACAGGAAGTGTTGGGAATGGCATCAAGTGCTGGACCGGATGTCCGTGGCTTATAGGCTATTAGGCATAAGTTACAGGTAAACAGCAAGTAAGTTATACACAAGTTCACACATGTTGCATGTAAGTTACTTATAAATTGACATATGTCAGAAATCAACTGGGCTTTCTAACTTCAATATTTTCTACAACATATTGTAAAATCTGTGCCTTAAAAGGTAAAAGTTTCAAGCTCCAAAGTGGAGGCGGGGTTAAGGAGGAGTGTGGGAGGAGAGCAAGTGAGAATTAGTGGGGTTAAAATCGGGTCTAGCATGAGTTTCAGCAGCTCATGTTCCTTGGTCAGCTCTGGCTCACATGTTTTGCATGCAGAGGGGCATCACAGCATGTTTACACACTCAACATATTATATTTAGCTGAGGACCCTAGAACAGTGCTTTGGGATCCACCTTTAATTAAGGTACAAATGATGAGCAAATCACCAATCCTGTTGGACCTATGTGGTGCAGAGGTCCACGACTATCTCAGAGATGAGATGATCCTGCTGCAGTTTCCAGATTTGTTTGACTATTTTCTGAGGCATATTGATCGATGCAAAATTAGAGACAGAGTGCAGCGAGTTCCCCTTTTTTATATCTGATGTCAAAAATAGCATTGCAATTAGGGCCGCCACAAACAATTATTTTTATAATTGATTAATCATCGATTATTTTTTCGATTAGTCGACTAATCAGATCATACCTTAATTGAATATAAAACATAGAGCTTATCACGTCAGAATGCAGCTGCTATTATATAACCATTGTTAGATTTTAGCTATATGCTAACTAAAAATAATTTCAGTGGAAGACAAGTTCTGCTCTGTAGATATTGCACAGGTTTCTCTTTCATTTTCTTAAAATGATCCCACACTTTTGAGCTCTGTTGTCAGGTAGCCATGATACCAGAGCCTGTCTGTAT